CGCACAGGGCGGCTACAAACAAGCGGCCTGCCCCCCTTTAAAACTCAGGAAGTATTTGGCAAAACAGTAACTAGGATGGAGAGGGTGAGAATATATAACAGGCGTCATGAAAAACACGTTTCCTCAAAGCAAAGAAAGGTGCCTCAGAACATCTGAAAACACGGGGAGCATTTAAAATGGCAGCCTCTATAGGGCCTGCGGAGTGGCTCAGTTGGTTAAGAGCCCGAGCTCTGCCCAACGGGGTCACCGGTTGCTTCCCACATGGGCCAGTGAGCTGCAGCAGAGCTGAGCTGCCAACAGGTGGCAGGATGGCTCAGCTAGTGAGACCACTGTGCTCCTAACAAGGTTGCTGGTTGGACTGCCGCCTGGGATGGTGGCTGTGCCCACCCGCAACTAAGATTGAACACGGCACCTTGAGCTGAGCAGCCACAAGCTGCAAACGGGCAGACGGATGGAGACTGGACTTGGAGCTGAGATTAGCTGCACCCTCCACAACTAGGATTGAAGGACAACAACTTGTTCCCCTTCCCTAATAAAATCTTTAAAATAAATAAAATAAAATGGCAGCCTCTAAAATAAAATCACCAGGGGTCTCAGCCTGGGTACTGCTGCATGTGGGGCCCTTGGGGACGGGCCCATGCACTGTGCAGTGTTCAGCAGCATCCCTGGCCCCTACCCCCTAGGTGCCAGTAGACACCCCCAAAATATCCCCAGACACGTCCAATGCCCACCAGAGGGCAAAACCGCCAGTGGCTGAGAACCCAGTGACAATAGCGAGAACCTGCCGGCCTCTTCTCACATACTCAACATAAAATAACAGATGTGATTTGATTTAAAAATATTACCCTTGTGCAGGAAGGACCAGTAAAACAGGACAGACGCTATCAAAATGGTTCAAAGGTCTCCCTCTAAAATTACGGCTCTTCAAGGCGCCATTTAGGGCAAGAGGAAGGGAGATTGGGGGGAGACGAGGCAGGCAGGGCAAGTCCTTTGTCAAGAAAAACCCTAACCCAACCTGCGTCAAGTCAGTAACGGAAACAAAATGGTCACTCCAAATACAAACTAAAGACCCTTGGCGACAACTCCCACGGACACCACGCCCACCTCCCACGCACCCTCGTGACTGACCCCGGAAGCAAGGCGGAGCCCCGAAGCGCGCCTGACCTTTCGCTGGCCGGGGGTTGGACGGGTTGGCGGCGTGGCAGCTCGCGCAGCTGTGCAGCGGGCAGCGGAAGCCCCGGCTTTCAAACACCGTCAGCGGGAACTTCCTCACACACGCCTCGTGGTAGAACTTCCCACACTGCGACACGACACAGCGCTTAACATCTGCCTTGCTCTCCTTGCACACGAAGCACGAGTGAACCCCTAACAAACGGTTAAAGCGGGGTGGGAGGGGAGAGAGGGGCAAGGACAGGAGTTAGTCCCTGCGCCACTGAGACCCTCAACTGTGTGGGAGGCGGCCGAGCTGCGACCGCTGGCTCTGCTCCCCCTCAGCCGACGGTGCCCACGGGCTCAGGGCAAGGCGGCCGGCACCGTGACCTCGCCACAGCCTGAGCTCCGTTCACCCGCAGAGCAGGTCTGCCCGGGCAGCGAGAAGCCTGGACGACAGGCTCCTCCTGCGCAGGCGTTCTCTGCCCTGACAGCAATCACCCCACGACAGGCAGGCAGGCGCCCCGGAAGTGAAGTCCTGCGCGGCCTTGACTTGGGGGGCCTTCCTGACGGGGGACGCCGGGCCAGCAGACAGGAGGTGAGCAGTGCCCGCAGCCCCCAGACTGCTGGTGAGGCCAGACGAGGCGGAACCAAAACAGTGACCGTCCAGGACGCGCATGGAGCTGTCCCGTTGCCAGGACGCTCAGATCCACACCTCCCCTCCATGAACTCAACTCCATGTTCCTGGGCCTCCGGCGTCCTGGGACCACGGGGTCACCAGCACTAGGAGCGCCGACCCCCTGGAGCTATGGCACTCACGCCAGCCCACGGGAAGGGACACGGCAGAGCCCGTATCGGTGACCCTGTCACTCTGCCAGTCACCACATACTGTGCTGTTTCAGTGACACTCTTTCGTGAAAGTGGTAAAGCCTACGGATGGAAGCTACTGAGAGGAACAAACAGTGGGGGCCATCAGAGGGGCAATCTGCCAGGGGCGGGGCAGCGGCCCCCGCGGGCTAAGCTGCGGGGAGCCAGGCGGGCAGGGAAGCAGGCAGCCCTCCGTGTGAAGGTAAGCTGCGAGGGGACGTCCCAGGGCTGTCTGCCCTGGGGACAAGCCCCTCCCCGCCAGCCAGAGCCACCACAGCACTTGCCTGAAGTGCATTCGCTGCAGGTGAACCGCCCCTCGGGTCTCCGGGAGAGGCCCAGGCAGGCCAGGTGAAAGGCGCCGCAGCAGGGGCCCTCGCACAGCAGGAGGGTGCCGGTCTTCTCACACAGCTGCGGGAGAGGGACACGGTGAGTGACAGTGCCGCAAGCCCCTCCCGCACCCGCACTCCTCAAAGGAACGGGCCACGCCCACACAGGTCAGATTAAAACCCACGAGGGGGGCGTGTGCACAAAGGGACCCCTCAGCAGCAGCGAGACAGGCAGACCAGAGCACAAGCCCAACACAGTGGAGGTTTCAGAGCGGACTGGAAAATCAAGCACACTGGACACCACCTCATCAGAAGTCAAGTTAAGCTTGTCACACCGTAGCTGACAGGCTGCTCCGGCACACAGAGCGCTTCCTTCCAGCGTCCCCATCTCACCCGCTCAGGGGCGCCCCACGTGCATGGGGGTGGAACCCGGCTTCAGCACAGCACCTCCCGCCCATCCACGCACTTAACGGCCTTCACAAAGTCTGCACATGTGTGCGTGTCAATTCATGTGAGACATCCTGCATGGAAGTGCAGGGAGCCACCTGGAGCCCTTCATCCTGGACACTAGTGGCCTAGCGCCTTCAAAACAGAAATCAGTGGGTGACGATGGAATGACGGGAGGTTGGAGGGAAGAGAAGCTGTGACCAGACTCACTCCCATCTACCTGGGACAGGAGGTGGGTACGGTAAGGGACAAATGGCCGCCGTCCCCTCACCTGACACACATGCTCCTTTTTGGCAGTTATTCCTCGTTCAGACTTTTTTGATGAGACGGACACTTCGGTCTGTGTTTCGTCTGCACTTTCATACGGGGACTCCAAGGGCTCGTCTCCTGCACCATCTGAGACCTGGAGAGGAAGGAGGTGGGTGACAGTTCACTAGTCACAGAGCAGCCTCAGAGACACACCCACCTGGCCCCATGCCACGCACGCCCTGTGCTGCCAGCTCTTTATGGCAAATGTACGTCACCAACTGGCTTTTGTGACAATACAACTTGTCCATAAACTGTAGAAATTCAGAAATGGAGTTTATTCTACTTAATTTTTAGTATACGTATGTATATAAGAGGCAAAAGGTTTAACATTTCCTTTTCATTTAATAGCCCTGAAAAGTGAAGTTACTTTTGTGAAAACCCAGTGTGCTCTGGTAGGTGGCCTAAGACGGGCTTTGGGACCGAGAATCTTGACCTTTCTTACCCAACGGCTTAGGGTCCAACCATTTCAAGGTAAGAGAAAGATACCAATACCAAATGGATTTTTAAAAGAACCCGAGTACAGCGCGGACATGTGAACCTCCAGACCATGACCCTGCTCGCCTGGCGACTGCTGTGCTAGACTGTCCTGCATTTCGGAGGCACATCTGCTCGCCACTTGTCACACCTGTAACTAACTCAGCGTCCTGTTCGTGTCCCCCTCCCACTGCCTACATTCCTCACCAGAGGGGAGGGTGGGGAAGGCGAGGGGAAACCTGCCGGCCGTGTTAACACATGAGTCTTAAGTGAGGGGGTGCGGGGTCTGTGCCCCCATGAAACGGCTCGCAGCCTGCATCTCACCTGACTGGGCCATCTCTCAGAGACCATCGACCACTAATCCCTCCCCCCATTCTTGTATACAGCGCTTTTCCCTCACTTGACCAGCAACAACAAATCTTTAAAATCGGTGAGTCTTTAATTAGACCTTTCTCATATATAAATTTATTTTAAAAAACACAATATTAGTCTGATGTTAGGTAAATAAATGTTGAAAACTGAATTTTTCAACAAACAGAAGTATACACTGCATTTCCTGTATACCTCAGTAACAAGTAATTGGTTACAGGCTTGCTGTTTGCCAGTGAACACAAAGCTAGAAATTGAAATTGGGCATTAAAAACCGGAAAACAAAACAAACCCCACCCAGCAATCTGCCCAATTCTGTAGCCTATCAGTGAGCTGTCTCTGGATTTAGCTCACTGACATCACAGGGAGCAGAAGAAGAAAAAAACAGTGAAGACAGGTTCTGCTGACTTTTGGACGGACCTGTTGGCTCTGACTGGTATGTGGCGGGGGTATAAGGTGTATGGCCAGTTCCAGTCTCAACACTCTCTGGCGTCTGGCACATCCCATAGTAACATCATCTTAAGAGACAGCGACCTTTTAAACTTGATTTCCTCACCTTCTCCAGGAAGATGGAAATTGCAGCGTGAATGAACACTACATTCCATGGGTCTCACACTGTAAAACTGTCGCTGTGAGGCTGCCCGGATGGAGTCGCCAGGCACCTCCAACTTCTTTAACCCTAACACCCAGAAAGAAGGCAACTTGGGAAAATGCTCTGAGCTCACACTCCAAATCTGACACGTGCATCAGATGTTGGGCCCCAGCGGGGGCTGTGTGCTGTGTGGCGAGGCTGCAGTGGCACCAGGGCCGGGCATCGGACATTGGGAGGACCAGCCACACCGCCTGGCCCTGCCGCTCCAAGGGTGGTGCGCCCGTCCGCCTGGGGCGGACTTGACGAGCAGCCTGGCACACGGACCCAAAGAGCGAGGCTTCGGTGTAGGCTGGGGGAGCCCGGCGCTCTGCCCCAACCCGTGTTCTTCCCTCGGCGAGGCTGGACAAGTTTCGAAGCTACAAGAAAAAGTGCGGAGAGGAAGACAGAAAACACAGACCAGTCCTGGGTCAAAGGAAGGAACAGCACCTTTTATTTAAGATTTACAGAAAAAGTTAGCACGTTTCCACTTGGCGATATTTCCTAAGTTAACAAAGTTTGTTTTGTGGAAATAAACACTGAGTACACATTCTGAGTGGAAATATAAATGTTAAAGACACACAGAAGGCTCGTTTCCTGGTCGGGCCCTGAGGCACACATACAGAGTACAGACCTTACAACAGTACATCCATTGCAGACACAGTGCAGACCCACCCTTCCTCCCCGCTCCCCTCAACCCCCAGCAACTCAACAGACAAGGAGGGCAGGCGGCTGCTCTCTGCTCACCAAGCCCCCCGCCCCCCGCCCCCCCAGCTGCGGCCCCACCTCCACGGGCACCCAGTGACCGTACTTACTCGGAGATGAGATTGTGAAAGGCACACAGTCACCTGTACGGTCCCAACACAGTCCCACATCTCAGTCTACGACATCTACGGTCTATTCCATATCCAATAGGGTTCGTTTGGAAAAGAAAAGCGGAGTGACTGAGCGGACACAGACGCTCACAACTTGCCCGGTGCTTCCCGAATCCACCACAGCTGCGCCCAGGCAGCTTAGTTCCTGACTTCTCAATGTTTTCTTGTGTCTGAAAACACTTTCTCTGCTCTCTACTCAGTGTGACAGTATCAACTCGCCTATTTGCCTCAGAAACACATTCCTCCACGGGAAAGCAGCGTCCTTAGCACACGTGACGGGGGTTTGCAAGATGGCAGTCACGAACACAATGTAACCTGGTGAACATACTTGAACCAACTTCTAGAAACGATGCGGCCATGAGGGGCGACATGCGAATCCCAGGCAGGTCCTCCCTGCTGTGACTGGAAAGCAGTCCCCTAGGCCACCTCGGGTGGGGTGACACAGTGAAATTTTAATTTTTTGACAAAACAAATCCCTTCACAAGTTGAATACTACATCAGTTTTGAAATACAAATACAGACCTTGAACAATAAATATTTCTATAAACCAACATTTTCATGCTTCAGTTACGCTTTTGTAAAGAAATAGCTCGATAATTAGAAGACTTTCACATGGTGTTTTGGGTTTACAGAAGGTAAGAATCCTGTGCTCAGCGGATTTAATCAACTTAAAATCAAGACTGGTCTCGACAGGTCTTCCAAGTAAATATCACAGTGAAATATTCGAGTGGGTTTCAAATAATTTTTAAATGAGTCATTCATCACCTAAGATAATACGGTTTCTAATTTTTATTAAAGCAGCCCTACTAGGTGACATAGACTAGAACCTTCCTGGCTGCCCCTGAACTCCAGGTCTGGGTCTGTCATGAGAACAAACGTCCAGCTCACACACCTGAGCTGGCACTGGGCTCACAGCCTCCTACGCCAGGTGCTTCTGGGTGGCCCCAGAGCCCCAGCAGGTGCCCGCGAGAGCCAAGGTGGCCCGGTGCAGAGTAGGCCATACGCTGCCGCTCCGGAGTCACAGCCAGCCCTCGTCACAGGCAGAGCGAGTCTCTAAAATGATCCTACCAACCCAACTGTGTCCCAACTGTGTCCTCAGCCGTGGCCTTCCCATAGAGTGGGCTGGCGAGAGCGGACCTGGAGACAACGACGATGCACATACAGTCGCTGCTTCTGCAGCTTCTGTTAGCATGAGGCTCAGCAGACCCCGTCGCTGGGCCGGGCCACCCCCACTGCCACCTCAGTCATTTCTGGAAGATACAGTATGCCTGAATGGTTAGCACCCTTCAAAATATATGCTTAAAAGTTATATGCAAAAACCCAGCAACTACATGTATGCCAGAAAAAATTATACACGTGGGTATAACGTGTAACCAGCTAGTTACAAAGACATCTAACAAGATGGGGTGTTCTTAAAGTGACACTGAGCACTGCTGGAGGGACACCGGTGGTGACAATGCCCCAAAGGGAGCATGCCCCTCCCCAGACAGCACAAGGAACATGATGGATACAACACACCTCATTTTCTAGTGCGAAGGACAGTCAGTTTCCCATCACTGGCAAGTAAACCAGTGGTAATTTCTAATATTCTAGGGAAAACAGCACAAACAGTACTTAAGGGATCAAAACCACTTTTACTGACCCAAAACCCTACAATATAGAGAGGAGTCAGCATATTTCTTCAAAAAGCCAAACTCAACTTTGAAAGCCAATAGAAAGCCAGTAGCAACCGATCTGACAGCATTTTGAGAAATGTCTTCTAACAAGACAGTGACATTTTAATTCTTTCAGCAAGACTAATTTAGGTTCACAATCAGAAAGGTAAACAGCAGTCCTCAGCAATTACTTTTCTGTTTATAGATTTTTAAAACAAGTGATGAAATTCCTGATTTTAAAAACATAAAATGCTACAGTTTCACACCAAGTCAAAAGGGCTGTCAGCCATTCCATGCATAAACCTCTGCTTGGCCAGAAGAACCTTAAAAAGGAGCTAATATTAAGAGGCTAGATATGTTTCACAAGCCTGTTAACTTTGAAATCAAATGAAAAAGAAATCAGATAAACTTGCCCGAGTTATAGCGAGCCTGTCTTCCTTCCAGCCACGGTCCCTCTGCACAGGGGAGCCAGCGGCAACAGGCCTTGTCGTACACAAACAGCCCCCGAGGTCCCCTCCTCCTGCTGAATGTGACCTGACGGATGGAGGACTGTCCAGGTAAAAACGCTGAGACCACTGCTGATGTGGTGAACAGCACAACGATGACCACACAGGCCCAGCCCCCACTCACATTAGGCTTTGGGTCAACACTCAAGGACATTTTTAAATCACTGTTTTAAGCCCACACAGGGCACTTCTTTGGGTTCTGGAAGTAGATGCCAATTCCAATCTCACTTGTCTTCTTAGCACATTTCTACGAGACTCTCGGTAGGTATGAGTTGCCTGCCATCGGGCTAACATTGGCTCTGCACTGCCCTCAAGCCTGGCCATTGTCACACACCTGTGGTCACAAATCTTGGGGAAGTGGGTCAGGGCCAGAGACCCTGTTCCTGGGGCATCAACCTTGTTCCTCAAGTTGATGTCAGTTTCCTCCGTCCTCTCCTCTGCTGTACTCAGCTGTCAAGTGTCCCCAACCCCATACACCTCTGGAAATGGCCATCCTGGGCACTCCATTTAAACCTAAATGTAAGCTTCCTACGAAAACCACAGAATCAGGCACATCTAAAGCTGGGGCACCTCACAGACATCACCTAAGAAGCAGGCTACCCGCCCCTGGATGATGGATGGACAGGATCCCACATGCCACGCAGGGCGCCCCCCTGCCTGAGGTCCCCGAAATCGCTTCCTTGTGAAACTTCCTTGTTGGTTTTAAGGAACATCCCCTTTGACACTGGAGTTATTTTCAGTTGGGAGATGCAGACATCACAGACATACTACAAAGACCACTGACATGAAGCTGCACCGAAGTTTGTCCCCCCTGCAGACACTGAAGTTCTGCATCAGCTGAAAAAAAAAAACGCGCACAGGGCAGATGGGTGTCTGTTCGCGCAGGTGGGGCAGGAACCCCACTGCGCAGGCGCATATGCACGCAGGGTGCTGCTCTCGTTTTCAGAACAGCTGCGACCTAAACTTCTGCGTACTCAGACGTTCCCACCTCCTGCAAACGCCCGTTTTGCTCTCTAGCCTCTCGTGGCTACCCTGCCCTCACCAGGCACACGTGAGGTGTGTGGAAGGTAGCCTCGCCACAATGCTTCTGTGGAGCGTAAGCAAAATTCACCTCAACGACAGGCAGTTCAAATGACTCGGGATGAGGGTGCATCCGCATCCCCACTGTCGTGACTTCTTTAGGACACGAAGACAGTCCACACGAAATCAGTAGCGTAATGATCTTTGAGACTCGTGCAGACACATTGGTACTCATCCCGAGTCGCTCAGAACAGGAGCCCTTCCCACTCACCCCCTAAGGTAAGCCATGGGGATCCCTCAGCGGGGCCACCACTGGCATTTGGAGTGGGACAGTGTGCCCTGTCCAGGACTGCCCCTCACTGCACAATGCTGACTACACCTGCCTGTGCCTGCCTGGCCACCTTCCCAATGTCCCCAGGGGGACACTGCCTCCCCAATTTGAGAAACACTGCATAACCCCATCCTTGTCTCCCCACGGACCCGTGTGCTCAGCTGATGCTAAGTTTATGCTGTTCTGTGGACACACCATTGAGACATGCTGAGAGACCTTTCCTCCCTGGTCACAGAGGAAAGCACCATTTGGTGGCTGGCTCCCCATGCACCTGTCACATACTGGTAGCTGGCTGGCCACCACCCAGAATTCACCTCACTATAATTTCTAATGAAGCCTCGTAACTCTTGCCAGAGGCCTTTCTGGCAAGCTTTACTTTCGGGGATCTTTCTTGAACTGGGGCCATTTTTATACCACCTTTTTTTTTTTTTTACACTTTTAAACTTAGTGACTTGCCTTTTCAGAATCCTACATTACTCCCGAGCTTTTTCATATCCTTTAGGAAGAGCACAGCTTAGCCAGCCACATATCCCAGCCCTTAGCCAGCCCAATACCGGGGTGTCACTCAAGCAAACCCAGTGTCTGTTCTATCCTCATGTGCAGGATGTAGTCAAGAGGGTAGGTAGCTTTTCATGCCAAACAAAATTTATACTTTTGGATAAAAATGGAATGATGGTGATTTTATTACTTTATTGTTATAACCATTACTGTCACAATAGTGAACCACTGAGTCCTGGCCAAGCTCCAGGCACCCTACGTCTTTTACACGCATCACATTACTTAATGGCTTAGAACACAAGTATTAGTCAGAAACTTGCATGAAAGGTAACACTCAGCGGAAGGGCCTGCTAGGGATGGCCCAACTGCTCCTGTCGGTAACGTGAGCAGCAATGCCCCTGCCTCTGGGAACGGAAGGGCCCGCGAGGCCCATCCTCACCATGCAAACATGCGGGACGGGGGCATGACATTGGTGGTCCCCGAGACTGAGACACTTAATAGATGGCTGATGTTCTACAAAAGCAACTGGTGATATGAGCAATGCAATAACCTGACTATGCTGTCCCCTGCACAGCGGCCACTGAATCCAGAGTTAAATGGATCCCAAAGACTCTGCAAATGGTAGTTTGTTCCTACAAATTTACTCTGTCTAGTGTCCTAGTAAAACTGCTTAGTAAAAATGACAGAATCAAAACTATTCCTGCCTTTTAATGTTGGAAACAGTTGAGTATCTACAGTACAGAATACATTCCACTGGCAATGAGCAGAGCTGAGAAGGACCCCTCTTAATGTGTGCTGTTTGTTCTTTGTTTTTGAAGGTATAGATGCTCACATTTTTCAATAAAAATTCAGTTAGTTGTGAACTGGAGGAGAAAAACGATCCCTAACAAGATGAGCCCCTTCAGTGCCGTGTCCTTGTCGCAGTCCAGGACAGTCCTGACCGATGGGCATCGTTCCCACGTGATTCTACCCTGATCACAGGAATACGAGCGTGTTTCTATCATGAGATGAGTGTCATTGGTCAATGGCCTTGATCGGGTATCTTACCTTGGTCTTAAAATTTGTTATCTGTTTTCTTCATGGCATGTGTTTATTATACCAATAAAAGGATTATCACACATCTTCCATAAAATGGCTGTGACAGGAATGTCACTTGGTGTGTACGATGATGCACCACCTGCAGCAGACATCCTGGAATAGTACAGCATTTTAAGTGCAGTACAGGGCAGCTGGGTTCAAATCCAACTTGACTGATGTGGCTCCCATAAACGCTGTTACCAGTGAAGTGAGAAAAATAAGAATTTGCTCTACTAAGGGAATAAGAATGGCGTCACAAAGCACTCCAGCCACACCCATTCCTTCACAGACCTATCATGCCAGTGTGCGAGCCCCTCTCGCCTCTTCACTAGGGCGAGCCGCACTTCACAGTAACTACTCTAAGGTACATTTTATTTATCACATACACCTTTTTGAAAAGAATTTAAGCCACAACATGACCACGAAAATTCCTGATTTCGATCAAGGGTGATGAAAAGGAAAAAATATAAGTGTGCAGAGGGCTTGTGACCCGAATAAGGGGCAGGTCTGAAGCCCAGCAGCAAGTCCCGTCGTCACCTCTCCCATCAGAGGCAGGCCCATGGGTGAGGGGGCTTTTACAGCACTGCGCTCAGGGGCACTCGCTCAGCACGGCATGCTATAAACGCAGACCGGAAGTGGTTCAGTAGTGTTAACACAGGACAAACCTTCCCATTTTCCTGCAGTAGCTTTAAGGAACAGTATCGTTCTATAAAAATGAACTCTAATAGAAGATTTACATAAGCCACACTAAAGTGTCCTATGGAAAAGGCCCAGTAATTGAAATGTTTTTATATAAGGAACAAAACGCACACAATGGCATTTATGTGTCACCTTCAAAATGCAGGAAAGTGGGTGGTTTTAACGTATTTCATATATAACATAAACGTATGTGACAATCTGTCCACTTCAAGTCCAAAAGAAGTAACAATCATTTAAGTCTAATGACTATGAAATGCTTCACCTAAGTCTTCCCAATTCAGAACAAGTGTCTAAGCCACAGAGATCACGCTCCCCTGGTTAAGAGTAGTGTCACTCTCAGGCATGTCTAACAAATGTGTCTTCGTCCCGACTGTCGCCATGTCACCCCGCATGTGCTACTCTAAACCCAAGCCTTTCACACACACACGGCTGAGGTGAGGAACAACGGGCAACACACTTTGGCAGTCTGTGTTTCTCCTTATTGCATCTGACAAGCGTGTAAGTAAAACTTCAACTGAGTAAGTGGAGCAAAATATGATGATGGAAGAAAAACTCATTAAAAATTTTTTAAACAAAAAAGCCAACTTAAGCAAAAGGGTCTATGGAGCTGAAACCTTTTATTTTTAGTATTCTTCTTTAGAATTGCAGGCCACCTTTCCATTTTATTTTCTAGCACACTAATCTGAACTTGGACAAGGAAAAAAGGAAAAGTATTTTGTATAGAATGTGCCTTTTCATGTTTCAGTAAGCTAGGGGTCAGAGAAGAATTCTTACTGCATTTCCTGTGTGTGCCCAGATGGAAGAAATGTTTAGTCACCTACACACCAAACTGTGAGGAGGCCCAGTGACAACACGTGAGCAGCTCCTCACCACCACTGGGCTAGCTTGAATCCCTGATAAAAACCCCACTCAGAGGCGTGCTCTGTGTCTACACCACCGAGGACCCGAGGCAGCAAGCTCCAGACCTCTCTGCAGCTCCTCGTTGGCCCTGGGCCCTGGGCTGCAGCGCTGGAAGACACCTCACATCTCATAAGAGGGGGCCACGGATGCTGAGAGCGCAGGGGAACATCCAGTCCCCACCAGGGACTGTGGCAGAGATCAGGTCAGAAGTGTCACCTCTGACCCGACAGGATGAGGGGTCTCTCCACCCCCTGCCTCACTGCCTGGTCCCAAGAAAGCCCAAGGTCAGCATGTCCTCATCAGTATTCAAACAACAGGACTCTAATCTACAGTGAGCACAACCACCACAGGAAACAAAGTAACAAGAATTAAAACTTAAAAATAAGCCCCTGGGGCAGTCACTAAAAGTAGGACTCCAAAACTCCCTCTGGATAAAAAAGTGTCATATCTGCATGGGGAGGCTATTTTTTGTTTTGTTTCTCGTCATGGCAAAGACTTTAGATTTGATGATGAAGTCTAGATGTCACACGACACAATAACAGTAAGAGCCTCAAAGAGCTATTATTTTGCTCTCATGTGTTCTGCAAGTCCAAAAAATAGCAGTCAAATGACCGTGGTCGTTCTGACTCACCTCAATACTCAAGTATCTAAGGGATATGCCAGAATTTAAAGGACCACAGAAAGCCAGGGACCAAAGCCATGGGACGTATGAGGACGTCCCTCCATGAGCCATGGTCCCGAAGCCACAGAAAGCGGTCGCATGTGTGGGCCACCCTCATCCCAGCTGGGGAAGTGCTCAACGACCGGGGTCAGCTCGACTGACATAGTGTGTCACAGGACAAAGCAGACTTGCTTTCATGTGAAAAGTTACAGTGTGAGGGCTTCAAAGAACACAACTCTTAAAGACAGATTTCAAGAACAACTGTGCATTGATCCTAATGCATATCCACGTACATTTATACATACACCGTGTGCGTGTGTGTACTTGTATCTGAAGTGCTAAAATAGGCTAAGTAGTGACTTTTTCCATTTCAAGACTTTTACATAGTTTATAGAACCTAAAACTCACCTACATGTGTGGAGAATATCAATATTACACTGATTAAGTCTGACCTTGACTCACACTTCAACTTGGGTAAGTAAATGGCCTTCGTGTGAATGCCATGTCTGTCATTATTATTATTATTTTACCTCATTCTCAGTTAAGGATGCAGAAGGAGATGAACTCTTGCTAAACGCAAGAGCTGAGGACGCTGCTGCAGAAGCCCGGCTTCGCTTCTTCAGTGGTTTGCACGCGTCAGACAGATGTTTCGTTGCTGCAAAACAATTTTGGTTTATAAAGTGAAGTTTGAAATCTTGGACCTTCAGTCTCTTCGCTACTTTCAATCACTCCTCTAATAAATGAAGTTCTGAAGATGACCCACTGACCCGTTTGCAGTACTAAGGGCTTAACTGTTTACTGCAGGAAAATGTGAGTGGAAACAAAGGCAGACAAACTCTGCAGGGACCTCCAAAGTGCCCCTGCCTCGCCCCCAAAACCGTCACCCTGGGGCCCACACGGCTCCATCTACATCGGGTTCCACATCCCAGACACATCGTCTCACCCATGAAAAGGTTTTGAATAAACCACAGTCCCACTAGCATACTGAAAAGTCACAACCCCTTTATATCATCAAGTATCTACTCAGTGTTCAAGTTGCTTACAAATGTCTTTTTCTTAATAGTCTGTTTAACTGTTTTTTAAAAACCACTACAGCACCTCATGCAAAAAAAAAAAGGAAAACAGAGCCATTCCAACCTTCACTTACTCTCTTCCCTGAATTTTGTTTTCCTTTGTAATTAAGAGCTGGAGATGGTAAGCTTTCTTTAATAGGCTACCAGACAGATACATCAAAAAGGTAATTAATGAAAAAGTATTAAAAGGTAGCCTAATTCTACCTTTCATTGTTTTGAGTTATTTTTCACACGCTTTTTAAGCTCGTTTCTTCCCCATGGGAAACAGAAATAACGAGTCAGCACTTTGCTTCCCGCTGGAACATACAGAAGCCAGATACTAAAAAGCGGTGGGACGTCTTAAAACAACTGACACCATCAAGTAAGAAACCCGGACATTTCCGGTTTAAATCACTTTTCTAGTATAATTTTAATTGAAAACAAAGCCAAGTAGAAATCAGCAGAAAAGCAACTTCAATGAAATTCAGCTGAATCATTACAATGACTAATACATTAAAGCGGTTTGTTTTTCAATCGCAGGAGACCCTCCTTTCTACCCCACCCAGCTTCACTGTCGACTGCTGTGCAGGTTGCAGAACCCTGCCCAGCCCAGCTGCCCGGTCCCGCCCCG